ATCTCCTCCGGAAGCTGTTCCAGCACATCTGATCTCCTCTGGAAGCTGTTCCAGCACATCTGATCTCCTCCAGAAGCTGTTCCAGCACATCTGATCTCCTCTGGAAGCTGTTCCAGCACATCTGATCTCCTCTAGAGGCTGTTCCAGCACATCTGATCTCCTCTGGAAGCTGTTCCAGCACATCTGATCTCCTCTGGAAGCTGTTCCAGCACATCTGATCTCCTCTGGAAGCTGTTCCAGCACATCTGATCTCCTCTGGAAGCTGTTCCAGCACATCTGATCTCCTCCGGAAGCTGTTCCAGCACATCAGATCTCCTCCGGAAGCTGTTCCAGCACATCTGATCTCCTCTGGAAGCGGTTCCAGCACATCTGATCTCCCCTGGAAGCTGTTCCAGCACATCTGATCTCCTCGGGAAGCTGTTCCAGCACATCTGATCTCCTCCGGAAGCTGTTCCAGCACATCTGATCTCCTCTGGAAGCTGTTCCAGCACATCTGATCTCCTCTGGAAGCTGTTCCAGCACATCTGATCTCCTCCAGAAGCTGTTCCAGCACATCTGATCTCCTCTGGAAGCTGTTCCAGCACATCTGATCTCCTCTAGAGGCTGTTCCAGCACATCTGATCTCCTCTGGAAGCTGTTCCAGCACATCAGATCTCCCCTGGAAGCTGTTCCAGCACGTCTGATCTTCTCCGTAAGCGGTTCCAGCACATCTGATCTCCTCCGGAAGCTGTTCCAGCACATCAGATCTCCTCTGGAAGCTGTTCCAGCACATCTGATCTCCTCTGGAAGCTGTTCCAGCTCATCTGATCTCCTCTGGAAGCGGTTCCAGCACATCTGATCTCCTCCGGAAGCTGTTCCAGCACATCAGATCTCCTCTGGAAGCTGTTCCAGCACATCTGATCTCCTCCGGAAGCTGTTCCAGCACATCTGATCTCCTCTGGAAGCTGTTCCAGCACATCTGATCTCCTCTGGAAGCTGTTCCAGCACATCTGATCTCCTCCGGAAGCTGTTCCAGCACATCTGATCTCCTCTGGAAGCTGTTCCAGCACATCTGATCTCCTCTGGAAGCTGTTCCAGCACATCTGATCTCCTCCGGAAGCTGTTCCAGCACATCTGATCTCCTCTGGAAGCTGTTCCAGCACATCTAATCTCCTCTGGAAGCTGTTCCAGCACATCAGATCTCCTCTGGAAGCTGTTCCAGCACATCTGATCTCCTCCGGAAGCTGTTCCAGCACATCTGATCTCCTCTGGAAGCTGTTCCAGCACATCAGATCTCCTCTGGAAGCTGTTCCAGCACATCTGATCTCCTCCGGAAGCTGTTCCAGCACATCTGATCTCCTCTGGAAGCTGTTCCAGCACATCTGATCTCCTCTGGAAGCTGTTCCAGCACATCTGATCTCCTCCGGAAGCTGTTCCAGCACATCTGATCTCCTCTGGAAGCTGTTCCAGCACATCTGATCTCCTCTAGAGGCTGTTCCAGCACATCTGATCTCCTCTGGAAGCTGTTCCAGCACATCAGATCTCCCCTGGAAGCTGTTCCAGCACGTCTGATCTTCTCCGTAAGCGGTTCCAGCACATCTGATCTCCTCCGGAAGCTGTTCCAGCACATCAGATCTCCTCTGGAAGCTGTTCCAGCACATCTGATCTCCTCTGGAAGCGGTTCCAGCACATCTGATCTCCCCTGGAAGCTGTTCCAGCACATCTAATCTTCTCTGGAAGCTGTTCCAGCACATCTGATCTCCTCTGGAAGCTGGTCCAGCACATCAGATCTCCTCTGGAAGCTGTTCCAGCACATCTGATCTCCTCTGGAAGCGGTTCCAGCACATCTGATCTCCTCTGGAAGCTGTTCCAGCACATCAGATCTCCTCTGGAAGCTGTTCCAGCACATCTGATCTCCTCTGGAAGCGGTTCCAGCACATCTGATCTCCCCTGGAAGCTGTTCCAGCACATCTAATCTTCTCTGGAAGCTGTTCCAGCACATCAGATCTCCTCCGGAAGCTGTTCCAGCACATCTGATCTCCCCTGGAAGCTGTTCCAGCACATCTAATCTTCTCTGGAAGCTGTTCCAGCACATCTGATCTCCTCTGGAAGCTGTTCCAGCACATCTGATCTCCTCTGGAAGCTGTTCCAGCACATCATCTCCTCTGGAAGCTGTTCCAGCACATCATCTCCTCTGGAAGCTGTTCCAGCACATCTGATCTCCTCCGTAAGCGGTTCCAGCACATCTGATCTTCCCTGGAAGCTGTTCCAGCACATCTGATCTCCTCTGGAAGCGGTTCCAGCACATCTGATCTCCTCTGGAAGCGGTTCCAGCACATCTGATCTCCTCTGGTAATGACAGACAGAGAACATCTATTGATCCACATTTTGACTCTTTATCACTAAAAGCCAGTAATCAGGCCAAGAACTTAGGATTTATGTTTGACATTGACCTCAGTTATTTATTTATTTTATCATTAGCATTGTTACTAAAACAGCATATTATAACCTCCAAAGTATGGGACATTCTCTGCCATCTGACAATGGCAAACTTGTTCATGCATTTGCTATGTCTAGACTTGACTAATGCAATAGCATTTTTCCTGGGTTACCAAAGAGCTCTATTAAACACTTACAAAGAGTTCAGAATGCAGGTGCATGAATGAGGAATCACATTACTCCAACACTGGCTGCCTGTATCATTCAGAATTGGATTCAAGATCATCTTATTAGTTAGACATGACGTGAACAGTCTCTGGATCGGCAGAACTGACGCGAAGAAGCACTGGCTTGCTAGGTTGTATGGATGGCCGAGACACTGGGGCGGTGCCGGCAGGGCGAGGCGCTGGGGCGGCGCCGGAAGGGCGAGGCGCTTGGGCGGTGCCGGCAGGGCGAGGCGCTGGAGCGGCGCCAGAAGGGCGAGGCGCTTGGGGATGGCCTCCAGGCCCTGTGGGATCGAAGACGCCTTCCTCCTCCTCAGGCGGTGGTGCTGTAGTCTCTTTGGCCACCACTGGCGGTGCAACAGGGAGAGTGGACAGCTCTGGGACAACCAATGTCGGGTCCTCCCGGACCACCGGACTTGAGACCCCCGAAGTCGGGTCCTCCCAGACCACCGGACTTGAGACCCCCGAAGTCGGGTCCTCCCGGACCACCGGACTTGAGACCCCGAAGTCGGGTCCACCCGGACCACCGGACTTGAGACCCCCGAAGTCGGGTCCTCCCGGACCACCGGACTTGAGACCCCCGAAGTCGGGTCCTCCCGGACCACCGGACTTGAGACCCTCAAAGTCGGGTCCACCCGGACCACCGGACTTGAGACCCCCGAAGTTGGGTCCTCCTGGACCACCGGATTTGGAACCGCCGAAGTCTGGTCCTCCTGGACCACCAGCCTCCGGGACAACAGCGGGCTGCTCGGGGACGGCCTCCGGAACGATAGTGGGCTGCTCGGGGACGTCCACCATCCCTGCTTCCTCCTCTTCCTCCGTTTATGATGGTGAGGCGGTGGCATCAAGATTACCGCCTCTGGGGGTGCTGCAGCATCTTCGGCCGCCTCTGGGGGTGCTACAGTCTCTTGCAAGGGCATGGTGGCCATTTTGCCTGGAGAGACGGGCGTAGCTGGTGTTGCCCATTGGCTAAGATGATGTAGATATGTAGTGAAACCCCAAAAGTCCAGGATTTCAAGCCCCTTCATCTCCCACCGAGGCAATGCGTCATCAAGGCAGTTATTAAAAAGATCCTTCAGTGCTGCATCATTATAACCCATGCCTCTCAAGAGAGTCCAAAATGCCTGAGACAGACAACCCACCGTCTGGCCCTGCTGACGTAGGGTCGCTAAATTACAGAATCGTCCCCTCCTCTCCTTCTCAGTGGTTGGGGGAAGGATACGAAAACCTGTACTGCTGGATCTATACATCTGGATGGAGTCCTTCTGTCACGAGATGCACACAAAAAAGGTAAGATCCATGTGCAGTTTAATGGGGTAATCCATAATCATAAACCAGCCAGGCAAAGGGTCATTATCCATAAAAAGACAGTCCAAAAACAAGAAACAAAACAGGAATGGAACTCAGAAGTGCAATCTGACATCAAACATCCCTGAGTTGTGGAGCATGCGTGGCTGCTTCAAGGGTCTCAGAGGGGCTAATGAGGCGCCCTACCTTCCCGTGTGCTGGACACACTCACAGAGTATCGTGCACCTTACATGAGGCACCTTTATGCTCTGAAACGGGGAGTGTTTGTGAAATGGTGCCCTGATAATGATATCGACCCGGCGAGCTGTCCCGTGTCGGATGTTTTACGTTTCCTGCAGCACAGGTTGGATTAACGGGAGCCTCCAGTCCACGCTAAAAGTCTTTGTGCCCGCTATTGCCTCGTTTTTTCCCGGTTAACGTTCAATGGCTCAGAAAGCATGCGCTGGTGGTCAGATTTCTCAGGGGGTCGAGGAGACTACACATTGGTCTTTTTTGTAAATAAAATCCTTTCTTTGATATATCATCTGGTGTCATCTTCACTCTGGGACAGAGGATTGAAGTGTGTTCTCGCCTTCCTCCTTTTATTTAATTTTACGCCTTTTCCTTTGTTACCTCCCCTCCCGACCCCTAGACAGATAGAGGAACGTGACATTGCCGCCGTGCTTGCCGCTCGATCAGCTGTTCAGCGTTCAGTTTCAGATTCTGATGTATTGTCGTTCCTCCTCATTTTATACGGCCCGAAGGCTCGTCAGTATTTGCATACTTTGCGACAATTGGCCAGTAGTTTTACTGGCGTTATCCTATATGGTTTCAGAATTTGTGCAGAAGGAGAAGAGTTCCTGCAGCGTCAGCTAACGCAATGTTAGAAATGGGCCTGTATCTGGTGTTGTGTTCACCCATGTTTTGTTTTACTTGATAATTACATATTTTACACCTTGTCTAGTGCTTGTATTCAGTTACATACTGTGCGTGTGCTTAGACCTTTATTTTATTTTAAACTGTTGTAAAATAAGATGCTTTATAAGAGGAATAAAAATCAATCATACATACTTTGCCAGTTTCTCTTCAAGCCGAGATTGCACACGTACCAAATAACCATCAATCTGGGTCTATAACAAATTAAAAAAGCTTAGAAAATAAAATGAAGAACACTAAAACCAGTTACAGCAAGAGCATAGACGTTTATTAATGTGAAACACATTCTTACTTTGTTCCTCTCATACAGTAGCGGTGTGCAGAACAAGATGATATCAGCTGCCAAGAAATAGAAGAACATTTTACAGTCACTGTTTTGTTATGAAGGGTGGGTTATTTCAGTGGGGGATAAAAAAATCAACATTATATTTTATGCATACATTTTGTACCTTTTTCTTAAAGTACTGCATCATAATAAAGGAATTCATCATCGTATTAGCACAGTGCCTTCTGTACTGTATGTTATGTGAATTTACTTTAACCACCAATATACTTATATTTGATCATTCTTTTGACTGTTATTATTTATTTATGAAGACAGGCTTACCTAGAATTAAAATTGTGATACCATTGAAGACGGCCCCCACACATGTCAGAAACCACATCACAACTGCAAGCTGCAGATAAACACAGCAGGTCAGTCACTTTTTACTGTGAAACGATTCGGTTACTAATTTAACATTCTACATTACGTGCACAGGGCTGACTATTAACAAAGAATTGACTTGAAGTATGAATGATTTTCTTAGCAAACACTTTTCTTTTAAAGGGCCCCTACATTATGGTTATTTACATGATCTTCACAGTTTTATGGGGTCTCCTAGAATATGTTTACAAAAAGCACAGTCTGTTGTGATTGGTCAACAGGCCCCACTCTGTTGTGATTGGTCAGCCGGCCCCAGTCTGCTGTGATTGGTCAGCCGGCCCCAGTCTGCTGTGATTGGTCAACAGCCCCCAGTCTGCTGTGATTGGTCAACAGGCCCCAGTCTGTTGTGATTGGTCAGCCGGCCCCAGTCTGCTGTGATTGTTCAGCCGGCCCCAGTCTGTTGTGATTGGTCAACAGGCCCCAGTCTGCTGTGATTGGTCAGCCGGCTCCAGTCTGCTGTGATTGGTCAGCCGGCCCCAGTCTCCTGTGATTGGTCAGCCGGCCCCAGTCTGCTGTGATTGGTCAGCCGGCCCCAGTCTGCTGTGATTGGTCAGCAAGCCCCAGTCTGTTGTGATTGGTCAGGCGGCCCCAGTCTGCTGTGATTGGTCAGCCGGCTCCAGACTGCTGTGATTGGTCAGGCGGCCCCAGTCTGCTGTGATTGGTCAGCCGGCTCCAGTCTGCTGTGATTGGTCAGCCGGCCCCAGTCTCCTGTGATTGGTCAGCCGGCCCCAGTCTGCTGTGATTGGTCAGCCGGCCCCAGTCTGCTGTGATTGGTCAGCAAGCCCCAGTCTGCTGTGATTGGTCAGCCGGCCCCAGTCTCCTGTGATTGGTCAGCCGGCCCCAGTCTGCTGTGATTGGTCAGCCGGCCCCAGTCTGTTGTGATTGGTCAACAGGCCCCAGTCTGCTGTGATTGGTCAGGCGGCCCCAGTCTGCTTGGTCAGCCGGCCCCAGTCTGCTGTGATTGGTCAGCCTGCCCCAGTCTGCTGTGATTGGTCAGCCGGCCCCAGTCTGCTGTGATTGGTTAGCCGGCCCCAGTTTGCTGTGATTGGTCAGCTGGCCCCAGTCTGCTGTGATTGGTCAACAGGTCCAAGTCTGCTTTGATTGGTCAGCCGGCCCCAGTCTGCTTTGATTGGTCAGCTGGCCCCAGTCTGCTGTGATTGGTCAACAGGTCCCAGTCTGCTGTGATTAGTTAGCCAGCCCCAGTCTGCTTTGATTGGTCAGCCGGCCCCAGTCTGCTGTGATTGCGGCCCCAGTCTGCTGTGATTGGTCAGCCGGCCGGCCCCAGTCTGCTTTGATTGGTCAGCCGGCCCCAGTCTGCTGTGATTGGTCAGCCGGCCGGCCCCAGTCTGCTTTGATTGGTCAGCCGGCCCCAGTCTGCTGTGATTGGTCAGCCGGCCCAAGTCTGCTGTGATTGGTCACCCGGCCCCAGTCTGCTGTGATTGGTCAACAGGCCCCAGTCTGCTGTGATTGGTTGGCCAGGCCCCAGTCTGTTGTGATTGGTCAGCCGGCCCCAGTCTGCTGTGATTGGTTGGCCAGGCCCCAGTCTGTTGTGATTGGTCAGCCAGCCCCAGTCTGCTGTGATTGGTCAGCCGGCTCCAGACTGCTGTGATTGGTCAGGCGGCCCCAGTCTGCTGTGATTGGTCAGCCGGCCCCAGTCTGCTTTGATTGGTCAGCCGGCCCCAGTCTGCTGTGATTGGTCAACAGGCCCCAGTCTGCTGTGATTGGTTGGCCAGGCCCCAGTCTGTTGTGATTGGTCAGCCGGCCCCAGTCTGCTGTGATTGGTTGGCCAGGCCCCAGTCTGTTGTGATTGGTCAGCCAGCCCCAGTCTGCTGTGATTGGTCAGCCGGCTCCAGACTGCTGTGATTGGTCAGGCGGCCCCAGTCTGCTGTGATTGGTCAGCCGGCCCCAGTCTGCTTTGATTGGTCAGCCGGCCCCAGTCTGCTGTGATTGCGGCCCCAGTCTGTTGTGATTGGTCAGCCGGCCCCAGTCTGCTGTGATTGGTTAGCCAGGCCCCAGTCTGTTGTGATTGGTCAGCCGGCCCCAGTCTGTTGTGATTGGTCAGCCGGCCCCAGTCTGCTGTGATTGGTCAGCCGGCCCCAGTCTGCTGTGATTGGTTAGCCAGGCCCCAGTCTGTTGTGATTGGTCAGCCGGCCCCAGTCTGCTTTGATTGGTCAGCCGGCCCCAGTCTGCTGTGATTGGTCGGCCAGGCCCCAGTCTGCTGTGATTGGTCAGCCGGCCCCAGTCTGCTGTGATTGGTCAGCCGGCCCCAGTCTGCTGTGATTGGTTAGCCAGGCCCCAGTCTGTTGTGATTGGTCAGCCGGCCCCAGTCTGCTGTGATTGGTCAGCCGGCCCCAGTCTGCTGTGATTGGTCAGCCGGCCCCAGTCTGCTGTGATTGGTTGGCCAGGCCCCAGTCTGTTGTGATTGGTCAGCCGGCCCCAGTCTGCTGTGATTGGTTGGCCAGGCCCCAGTCTGTTGTGATTGGTCAGCCAGCCCCAGTCTGCTGTGATTGGTCAGCCGGCTCCAGACTGCTGAGATTGGTCAGGCGGCCCCAGTCTGCTGTGATTGGTCAGCCGGCCCCAGTCTGCTTTGATTGGTCAGCCGGCCCCAGTCTGCTGTGATTGCGGCCCCAGTCTGTTGTGATTGGTCAGCCGGCCCCAGTCTGCTGTGATTGGTTAGCCAGGCCCCAGTCTGTTGTGATTGGTCAGCCGGCCCCAGTCTGTTGTGATTGGTCAGCCGGCCCCAGTCTGCTGTGATTGGTCAGCCGGCCCCAGTCTGCTGTGATTGGTTAGCCAGGCCCCAGTCTGTTGTGATTGGTCAGCCGGCCCCAGTCTGCTTTGATTGGTCAGCCGGCCCCAGTCTGCTGTGATTGGTCGGCCAGGCCCCAGTCTGCTGTGATTGGTCAGCCGGCCCCAGTCTGCTGTGATTGGTCAGCCGGCCCCAGTCTGCTGTGATTGGTTAGCCAGGCCCCAGTCTGTTGTGATTGGTCAGCCGGCCCCAGTCTGCTGTGATTGGTCAGCCGGCCCCAGTCTGCTGTGATTGGTCAGCCGGCCCCAGTCTGTTGTGATTGGTCAGCCGGCCCCAGTCTGCTGTGATTGGTCAGCCAGCCCCAGTCTGCTGTGATTGGTTAGCCAGGCCCCAGTCTGTTGTGATGGGTCAACAGGCCTCAGTCTGCTGTGATTGGTCAGCCGGCCCCAGTCTGCTGTGATTGGTCAGCCGGCCCCAGTCTGCTGTGATTGGTCAGCCAGCCCCAGTCTGCTGTGATTGGTTAGCCAGGCCCCAGTCTGTTGTGATGGGTCAACAGGCCTCAGTCTGCTGTGATTGGTCAGCCGGCCCCAGTCTGCTGTGATTGGTTGGCCAGGCCCTAGTCTGTTGTGATTGGTCAGCCGGCCCCAGTCTGCTGTGATTGGTCGACTGCTTAGAGCATGTGTCGGAAATGTAACACCTCTTAATAACCGTTGAGTCTCAGATCCGGCAGCTTCCTGTAAACACAACTGTAAATACGCTATATGGCATCAGTGTTGCTGTATCAGTTTGAGTCTGAGTCCAATAATGACAGTGATTTCCCTGGCTTATAACTGCTTTTGTTTGAGGGCGAGCCAAATTAGCCAGCAGGCAGCGTTATGCAAATGTGTTATATGTTGAAAAAGTAAAATAAAGTCAGGAGAGCAGGCGTTTTTCTGGAGAGATTCACTCTCTTTGCTATGGACTTTGTGCTTTGTACAGTAACTTTAACAGATTGTTTACATGCCAAACAGGAATATTGCACATTCAATTATTGTTAAAATTAAAAAAGCATAATAGATCCCCTTAAAATAAAGAACTGTTGAAAACACTGATATGAATTTAGCTGTGAATTATTGTAGATAAATAGACATACCTTCAGTGAATCCACCACATCTTCTACAAGCACAAGTCTTCTTGTCTGTATGAGAGCAGTGTTTAATTTCACCAAAAATATGTCCATGTACCTGCGGGCTGTGTCCGGTGAAATGCGGATATCTCTTTCCATCAGAACTCTGTGGATGTACAAAGATCTCATATTACTTTTTTATCAAAGTCTTGTCATTTCAAGAAACATTCAACCAGTCGAGCACAAAAGCAGCATCGCACCAAGAAACAGCATCTAGGAAGAAAAGCTCTGAATGGAGATTTATAAAATCCAACAAATGCATACATACTTAAAAGGGTGTCCTTCGTCGGACTTCTGTACAGCGTGCACGACTGACTTGTAGACTCTGAAAGTGATGGTGACACAGAGCAGGGCCAGGAACAGGTAGGACACAACACTGATAACACTGAACCTGGCTAGAGATATGAGCACCAGCATCGAGCCACCAAACACTAGCACTGACTGCTTTGGCTTCTGCCAATACACCAATTCCTGCACTGCAGAGAGATATGGATGTTTAAAGCATGGCAAGAGGCCCTCGTGGTCCTTTTCATTGGTCCAATCCTGGACTAGAGAGAGAGAGAGAGAGAGAGAGAGAGAGAGAGAGAGAGAGAGAGAGAGAGAGAGAGAGAGAGAGAGAGAGAGAGAGAGAGAGAGAGAGAGAGAGAGAGAGAGAGAGAGAGAGAGAGAGAGAGAGAGAGAGAGAGATTGGAAAAGTGAGTACTTCGACCTCTCAAATGTGAGTTTAACCTCTTGGCAAAATCCATGGGTGTTGCAATTCACTTATTAAACAGTAGGTTTATTGCAGTGGCATGTGTGGTGATGTGAAATGAGAAAATAAAGATCCTCCCTCTGTTTAAGATGTTTTAATATCAAATATCATGTTCCAGTTGCATTTGAAGTTGAGTTTCCAAGTACTAGCAAGCAATACTATAATATTTTGGTGTGTTTTTATTAAATTCATCCTCTACTATATATATTATTTTTGTAGGTTGTTTCAAGCATCTGGGAGACATTTAGTTCCTGTTTCCCTGATCTGTTTAGTTTCTTTAGTTTCCATGGTTATTGATTTAATTACACAGCTGTCACTACAGTTTTGTTAATTATCTAGTTCTGTGTATTCAAGCCCTTTGTTCAGTGTTCAGTCTTGTCTTTAGTTTACATGAATGTGTGATATATTCCCTGTGTTTTCTAAGTGTTCTAAGTGTATTTAAAGCCTGTTCTTGCTCTGTTCTCCGTCGTTCGCGCTCTTCATTAATACAACCATACTTGACAGAAGACTGAACCCAGAAAGAATTTGAATATGGACTTTCCTGCAGTCTGTTTGCTCTGTTTGGAGCAAGAGCAAGACTAGACTACAGATCCCTCAAAGACTACATGTGTGACTCTTTACAGCTGGCATGCCTGTTTCCCTGATCACTCCCTGTGCGTGTTTTTCCTGACCACCCTGAACGAGCATACAAAGGCTACGTTCAGACTGTCAGTCCAAATCCGATTTTTGTGTATATCCGATTGAAATCTAATCAGATTTAGCAAGTGTGAACGGTTTCCATATGTGGTTTGAAATCCTATTCTAAATCGCATTTCTGGAAATCCGTTTCAATCTAACCACTCTGATCAGATTTCGGGTTTATGTGACTCCACGTAAAATGTAAACGTCAGACGTTGCTACAGGAAACATGCTGAAAGTCGCAGCCGAAACAAGGCTGTGTTGTTCCAAAGTGCCGATCAAGCAGAAAATGACAATTTAACGGAAATATGTTTGTAAACCGGCGGAGACAACAGTGCGGAATAAAGCCACGCATACCAGCCTCCTACGGTTCTACCGCTACCTCAGAAGACGTAGTAGTCCAGCCAGGCGGCTACGCATTGTCATGTTGTAAAATTTTAATAAGACAACATCTCTATTGCAAACCCCTCCATTTTGCAGTTGTTGTTGTCTTTGGCATATTCCTACCAACGCAACATCATTAGCCATAGAAACCAATGCAGATATTCCAGAAGCTGCATGAACTCACAAATCGGATCTGAACAGTTGCGAAACACAGTGTGGACATCAATAATCTTAGATCAGATTCCAATCGGATACACAAATAATTGGATTTGGACTGACAGTGTAAACGTAGTCAAAGCACGCCTGCCCGGTGATGTTCCCTGGGGGACTTTCGCAGCATTTGTGGGTGTTGGTGAACTGCGGATCACTGGACATCATCAGCCCCACTCCGGACCCAGAGCTCAGCCACGCCTCTAACGGATGAAATGCCTGAGCCCACCGCAGACGAAGGCCCGAGCCTGCCGCTATGCCTACGCCTGAGCTGACACCAGTGCACATCATCGCCCCGGAGCCTGAGCGCAGCAATAGCTCTGACCAGGTGCAAGAGCCGGCAACATCGTCTGTGCCAGTGTGTGTGCTCGTGGAGTAAGAAGGCATGGAGGGAAGCCCCGACCACACTCCTGCCACTGAGGGCCTCTGGGAATTATTTTGAGGAATGGGAACTGTAATTCCTTTAAGTTTCCCGTCACGGCTGGTCCGCCCAGCTACAAGTCTCCTGCATCTCTGATGATCCCACCCAGCCTCCCTCTCCCACCCGCTGTACCAAAGCAAGCCAGTCCTTTGGCCCTGCCACTGCTGTTTCCCTTCAGTTCCTCGGCTCCACCTCTGTGCCACGCGGATGCGTCTCTGGTCTTCCGGTCTCCTTGGCAGGAGGGTCCCCTGTCCCCTCCTCGGGTTGCCGAGTCTGTCACTCCTCCTCAGCCCTTCAACAAGTAGGCTCCACCTTGGCTACTCCTTCCCTCGGCTCCGTCTGGGACTGTCGTCCTTACAGCTCCACCAGGCTTGGTCAGTCATCACTCTGACCATGCCATGGACTTCCAGGCCTTCTGCTGCACCACATCCCTCCACCCCTTTGGCTCCGTCGGGCTCCACCTGGGTACTCGGTCCCATTGGCTGTGCCTCAGACCTCCGGCACCCTGGCTCATTCTCCTCAGCTCCACCTGGGTCTCCAACTCTCCTGGCTTGGCCGCTGGTGGTCAGACTTCTGAATCCATCCTGGCTACTCCCACCATCGGTTCTGCCGTGGGTCTGCGTCCTGACTGTGCTCTGGGTCATCTGTGGCTGGATCCCAAATGGCACACATGTGGACTCATGGTCTCGTGGCCTTTGCTCGCCAAGTGTACGAGTCCGTAGGGTGTCCCATTCGGCATTTCAGCGCTTAGAAGTGTGCTCGCGAGTAGGGTTGGGTACCGAAACTCGGTGCCAATAGGGAACCGGTTCCGACGTAAACGGTAGTAACCAGACCGAAAAAGAACGACAATTTCGGTGCCTGATTTCGGTGCCTGACTTAATTAGGCACACACGCACACACACAAACACGCACACGCACAGTCTCTTCTGTCTCGCATGCGCGCTCTTGCTCGCAAGGTTTGGCTGCATTTCACGTGTAAAATTACGCGTCAGAACGCCCTCTGGGTGTGCCGATAGTCTGAATCCATATAGAATCAAGCCAATTCATTGGCTGATGGCGCGGGCGCCGCCTCGACGCACTTACGTCGTCATATTATGTTGGCGCGCGCGCGCGCCATTTGCTCCTCAGATTTCTCTGCCGAAAAAGGAAGCTGGTCGGCAGCGTGAGGAGCTTGGCAGCGTCTCGTTCCCTATTGAGAGAACATAGGTTACACCAGTAACCAGAGATGTTCTCTTTCATAGGTTCACTCAACGCTGCGTAGCAGCAGTGGATTTGTATTTGTAGGCTGCTGTATCACGTGCCGTTTGAACTGACGCGCTACAGCGATCTGTCACATTTCAAAGAGCCAAAACGTTATTTATTGTGTGAATCTCGTAAAAAATATTGACAGAATCTGACAGCTGTGGATTTGTTCCATATCAAAAGTAACCTTGTCTGTCGGTGTCAGTGTCCTCTTTGTCCGCGATTTTTCTCTGCGTGAGAAAATGGATGTGTGGCGTGAGAGCGTGTGAAAAGGGTCAATTGCGTGAGTCTCACGGTCAATGCGTGAGAGTTGGCAGCTCTGCCTGCTAGTAATCTCTATTAATCTTCAGTATTATATTGTTTGATAAAATATTGTTTTATTTGATATTATGTAAATGTGAATTTTTATTTTATATTGGTTTTATTATTATTTGTATTTATATTGTTTAAAGATTTAAGTTAATATTGTGTCCAGTTTGGCCCTGTAACTAAAAGGGTAATATTTTTTGATAAAGTGTGTGCGGTTTCGTTTTCTTAAGTACTGTTTCAAGAACCGTTTAGGCACCGGAACCGTTTAAAAAATACCGAGTAGGTACTGGTATCGGATAAAACCCAACCGATACCCAACCCTACTCGCGAGTAATGTCATGGTCATGTTCAGTGTTCAGTCTTGTCTTAAATTTGCATGGTTGTGCAATATATTTCCTGTGTTTTCCTTAGTTTTCTAAGTATAGATAATAAAGCCTGTTCTTGCTTTGTTCATTGATCGTGCCCTTCAATACTGCAACCATACTTGACCAGGGGTTCTCAACTCTGGCCCTCGAGATCCACTGTCTCCACAAACTCACCTGTCTGTAGCTTTCTAGTAATGCTGATGACCTTGGTTAGCTTGTTCAGGTGAGTTTGATTAGGGTTGGCCCTTGCTTTTTTACACTTTGGGTATTTCCATCATGAGTTTCTAACTGTGATCCTTTTCTAACAGTCATAGCATAGTACACATTTGTTTTGCTTTTAAGTATAAGCCTTTTAATTCATTTTGAACCTGTCACATTCAAGTGCTTTGCTGTCAGAAAGAATATCATGGAGGACGCCAGGTTTATTCTTGCCTATTTCTTAGGAAAATAATTGAAGCAAAAATGTATTGAAGATATTTAATTTGGAATAAAATGTAGCGTTTCATTTGTTGAAAAACATATAAACATTCACCTCTCTATCTAGATCAGGGGTGTTTACTGGAATATTTATTTCTGATATTTGGATATTCATTTTAATTTAATTGTTTTTTAATTTAATTGTTTACTTACAAATAATTTTCCCCTGCTTTAAAGGCACTTTTATAAATCCAGGACAATACATCTTGTCTACATCAGTCAGAAACCTTGGTACAAATGGAGAAATGAGAATTTCATGTTTCATAGTTTCATCTATGTCTGTTGCAACGGGGCACTATTCTGTATTAACTATACCTGAACTGTGTTTACATGTACCTGGATCTGTTCTTTCATATGTGGAAACGGTCCCCCAAAATTGTCTAAATATCCTCGTAAACACAGTCAGTTGTGTCTTAAGTGAACGTAAACAGTTGAGAAAAAACACGTGTATCAGTATATTGGATCCGTGCATTCAGTCTTAAAGTGACAGTGGCCTAATATTCCCACTGCTGTCTTTGTGTAAATGTTAATCTAAGAACAGAAGAAAAAGAAAATCACTCACTGTTTTTGACTAAACGACTTTTGTATTTTTAATAAGGATTCATATATATTTTATTTATGCAGTGTTATTTTACAGTG